GGGCCGGAGTGACACCGGTGCTGCTCCTGAGACGAGTGATGGCACAACGCCGGCTTCCTGCAGAGACAAGCACACTTCCTGTGACGTCATTCGACATGACAGAAGTGCACAGAAGACACGAGCGTACCTGCAGAGCTGCTTACAGCGCGGCGGTTTGGTGCTTTTCTCTCTCCCGCAGGGCACAGAGATCACAGTCGAGCCGCAATCACACCGCACCTCCACCATCTCCGGACACGGATAACAACTGCCTGAAAACACACGCACACACACACACACACACACCAGCTTTACCAAGAAGCAGCGGCTGATCTTCTGACTGGTCTTGACTCCAGCCGTCACACACTCTCCGTCTGACATTTGGATATCAGAGCTGCGCGCCGAGATAGCTGGCGTTTGCCAGATTATACTGTTGTTCCAGACACACATTTGCATTCAGCATACAGCAAGTGAAGGAGAACGAGGCATCAGTGAACATGTCATCAGTGTGAGATGACCTCTATCCTCCATTACCTTTCCCCCACACACACACACACACACACACACACACTTCTGCTCTGAGAAAAGGTCAGCTCATTCACGCAAACGAACTGGATAACAGCACACAGGAAGCGCTTCTGGCCCAGCATGACCGTGACACAAACACAACAGCCAGTCATACGTCTGCTCAAGGTTTCCGTCGCTCCCACACTCCTGTGTGCCCTGCGGACAGGAAGCACTCCTGCTGTCACAGGAAGTGCTCCCGCCGCCGGTGGCTCAGCCGTTGTGTGAGAGAGAGGGAGAGAGAGAGGGACGCCTTTGGAAAAATAAAGTCAAGAGATTATGAAGAATCACTCCTACAGCTGGGCTGAAAATACAGATTTCTCGATTTGAATCGATTCTCATTCTGATGAACCGATATCCATTCTTAAATACCAAGAACCGGTCTGTGCTGTCGTCAGTAAACAAAACTCCAGGAAACATTATTTGTAGCAGGCCACCCATCTGATAAACCACTATAAGCTTAGTGCTTTGTTACTTTTGATATGAAAAAAAGTCTCAGCTTATCAATTCTGGCCATGTTATTATAAAATTCAAACAAATGCGGTTTTGCTTCTTTTTAATGTGTGCTGACAGATGGCTCATCTCTTCTTCTTTACTATTAGTTAGAGCAGCAATTCAACATGATTGAACATCAGAAAAAACAGAACTTACTGAAATCAATCACGTCTTGGAAAGATGTCAATAAAACAGTTTATGCTCAATAACGTCACATTTACCTCAAGAAAACCATTCAATGACCTAGAAAAATAACTCGAAAGGAGGAGCATTTTGCTAAATATATACACTACATTACATATTAATGGAGCGTAGCGTTAGTTCTGGCAGGTCACGTTAGTCAAGCTCGCATCAGCTGACTCTCAGCTGATCCACGTCTGCCTATAGGAATACGACGCCAATCATAATTCCCTTTATAAGGTCCTTTCAGTCCTTATTCAGCAGCTATCGCTTTGCTCAGCAGCTAAGCTTGGCATTGGATATTTCTTCTCGAGTCAGACCACCGAATTACGTTGATATATAAAATAATCACTTAGAACATTGATGATATCTGCTACATTAATCATTAATGTTGGTTCTGTTCAGTTTACCCTAGGGGGGGTATTTATGCTCTTATACATGCTAGGCTGCCCAGAACAGAACCATACCTCCAACCTAAAATGTATGCTAATTGTAAGTTATCTTTGACGATAGTGGTCCTGACAGAAATGACATTTTACTTCAATATTTAATGCGTTTGAATAAATCCATCATGAAAAGAAGTGACGATGTCCTCTGTTTAAATCAGGGCTTCTCAACTCTCGAGGTCCACTTTCCTGCAGAGTTTTGCTGTAACCCTGATCAAACTCACCTGCCTGTAGCTTTCGGGTGATCCTGAAGACCTTGATGAGCTCGCTCAGGTGAGTTTGGAGCTGAACTCTGCAGGAAAGTAGACCTCGAGGCCCAGAGTTGAGAACCGCAGGTTTAAATGTTTTTATTTCAACAACAAACCAGAGTACAAACAGAATTATATCATTGAAATATAATATTATAATTTATTATTATATAAACTGCTTTATGTGCAATTTGAATGTTTAATAACAAATCTCTTTAATATTATTGTAATGTACCAAACGGACAGGTTTTACTGTGTAGTTTGCAGCATTATAATAATAATAATAATAATTCTTCTTCATTACATTTATATAGCGCTTTACATTGTGAGGGGGATCTCCTCATCCACCACCAGTGTGCAGCATCCACCTGCATGTTTTGACTGTTTATATATTCAAATAATCCAAAATCAAATCAAATTGAGATTGAAATTGAATCAAATCGCAAGCTTGTGAATCAATATTAAAATATGTGAAATTTGTCTCAATACCCAGCCCTACTAGCTCTAGCCCAGAAGCACCCACTTAAGATAGGAAGAGACCGTCTGCTCATCTGAAAAACACTGTCTGATGGTTTGCAAATATCCAATCAGCCATGATGTGGTGGATCCTCAAAACACAAAGCATTAAGGCTGTCTTTTTTTTTCCGAATTTCGAATATTCGTCGAATTTAAAATAAAAATCCACGTCCAAATGCAACGTCGAATGCAAAAATCCACGTCGAATCCAAAAACGTTGCATTCGAATTTTAGGTGTGCGTTAAGACTTATCAGCGGCGCACGAGATGCGATGACGATGTAAGTGTCGTCACATTATAATGTTTTCTTAGTCTATCCAGTTGAAGTCACTGGATGCGGCACTGCTGCGTTGTTCATTAAAAATATAGCGGAAAAAGAGAACATCAAAGCGGAGAAGATCTTGTTTACATCAAAACTGAAACCAAGCCGTTCACACAGAAAGCATATTTCACGCATTTTCTAGAGGGACATCTATCACCGTTGCACTCGCGTCTCACACAAAAGAGCCACATGTTTAGAAAGCCATGTAAAATTAATGCAAGTTCAACTTTGAAAAAAACTTATCTCGAGACTTTATGGCGCGTTTTTCCCCATCCCACTGCAACACGTGTTTTTAAATGAAAAATGTACTCTGTGTGATTGGTTTTCGGCTCTTTGTATTAAACGATGCATACATACATGATGCTGTTTTGTTTATAGTTGTTTAAGCAACTTAATTATAATTGGTTTATAAACATTATTTTAAACATTATGCACTTTTTTCACAGATAGTCTGTTTTCTTATGTTTTGAGGACGTGCATTAGTAATATTTTGCTCGATGCGCCCTCTTGTGGCCTCAAGAGAGAAGCCAAAAGCTTTTCTTCACCCTAACTGAAATTATGCATTTTAAATTAGAATACAATTCGAATTTTGATCATATTTAAGTAAAAAATTTGAATTTAGTTTTTCAGCCATTTTGACAGCCCTACAAAGCATGCAGCTGTGGTCGCTCACAGTCAGGCTCACGGCTGACCCGTGTGTGTTCAGGGATGAGTGTGTGTTAGTGTTCACCTTGGTGACACACAGACGGGCATTTGTGGTTCCTGCAGCCCAACATTCGAGTGCAGCTCATGTCACACGGAGGGCAGCTCCCTGGACAACACTGCAAACACACACAGCTATCAGTGACACAAACACAATGCGAGGTGAAGTGTGAATGAGACGCACTCGTGTGTGTCAAAAAGATGTGTGTGTCACAAACCTTTCTCTTGCACTGGTGTCGGCTGCAGGCCCGTGTCTTGTTGCATTTGGACTCGCAGAGATATTCCTTATGACAGGGCAGGAGTTTGCTGTAGCGGCCACATCGGCACGTCTTTTCTACCTCCTGCACACACACACACACACACAGGTTAATTTCCCTCTAATCAGTATCTACGTTCACACTGGGCTTTGGTTTCAGGAAACGGTTAAATTTCTTCTTTGTAAATGCAAGCCTGGGCTGGAATGCCAGAAAATTCGATCTGGTTATCAGAGCCTCCTAACATCATCAGGATCAATCCTGGAACATGTTTTTTCATATTTCATATTGTGAGATTAGCATTGTGTATCAAACCAAATCATGGCATGAATGTATCGTTACACCCCTAATAATAATGCAATGGCAGGACAGTTAGAGGAACACCGCCTGTGTAAGACGCTAGCTAGTGTTACGGCTCGTGTGTGTGTGTGTGTGTGTGTGTGTGTGTGCGCGCGAGTGAGTGAGCGTGTGTGAGTTTGTGTGGTTTCAGGAAACGGTTAAATTTCTTCTTTGTAAATGCAAGCCTGGGCTGGAATGCCAGAAAATTCGATCTGGTTATCAGAGCCTCCTAACATCATCAGGATCAATCCTGGAACATGTTTTTTCATATTTCATATTGTGAGATTAGCATTGTGTATCAAACCAAATCATGGCATGAATGTATCGTTACACCCCTAATAATAATGCAATGGCAGGACAGTTAGAGGAACACCGCCTGTGTAAGACGCTAGCTAGTGTTACGGCTCGTGTGTGTGTGTGTGTGTGTGTGCGCGCGCGAGTGAGTGAGCGTGTGTGAGTTTGTGTGATTGAGTGTGTGAGTGAGTGAGTGAGTGAGTGAGTGTGCACCTGTCGGCAGGTCTCACAGGCTCCTCTGTGGCAGCGCATTGAGCAGGTGTGTAAACCACAGTCCAGTTTCTTCCCACAGGTGTCTCCACAGGTGGGCACATCCACCGTACATGGTAACACACTCTCTGAACAAACACAGCACTGAATGAAACACACCGGAGCCCTGCAGAACTGCTTGATGAACATTAAGTAATATCTGCATCCACATGCTCAAGTGCAGAACGGTTTGTTCGAGGAACCAATCCTACTCCATGACATGGGAACTAACTCTGATTTTACTCCAATCAAATTATAAACTAAAACATAGATGTCTTTTTACAAAACTTTCATTTTAAATGTGATAAATATGATTTTACATGACAGCTTGATTCTATTAACTAAAACATGTGCATTAAATCAGTACATGATGTTTTAATGGGAAGGTAAAATACAGAAAGGTTTGTGTGAGGGTTAGGCGACACAAAATACCATAATATCTCAAAACCAGGGCTGGCGATTGAAGTATATCATTGTCATATGCAAATATTATTTTTCTGTCATTAATGCTTCAACACATTCATTTCCATTTTAAGTAAATAAACTAAACAACAGGCTGCTAATAGTATGTGTGTGTGTGTGCATGTAAGTGTGTGTACTGGTATTCACTGTTATGTGGACCACAAGTATAGTAATACAAGTATAGAACTAGCAGTAAATTCGGACTCTTGTGGGGACATTTTTTGGTTCCCATGAAAATCCAAGCTTATAAATCAAACAGAATGAAGTGATTTGAGTGTAGTTTTATGTGAGGGGTGGAATACCAGTGTGTGTGTGTGTGTGTGTGTGTGTGAGAACTTACTTGTCTTGCCACAGGAACAGGATCGGTTTCCTGCACGAGGACATTCTCCACACACACCTGTGTGACACACACGCTCACATGTGTGATTCCCACAGGACAGCGGACGACCACACACCTGCACAAACACACACACATCATACAGCTGTTACAGACACACACACACACATCATACAGCTATTACACACACACACACACACAC